AGAAACGCGCTGTAAATGCTCACAACACAAACAAATAAAGAAACGCGCTGTAAATGCTCACAACACAAACAAATAAAGAAACGCGCTGTAAATGCTCACAACACAAACAAATAAAGAAACGCGCTGTAAATGCTCACAACACAAACAAATAAAGAAACGCGCTGCAAATGCTCACAACACAAAAAAATAAATAAATGCGCTGCAAATGCTCACAACACAAACAAATAAAGAAACGCGCTGCAAATGCTCACAACACAAACAAATAAAGAAACGCGCTGCAAATGCTCACAACACAAACAAATAAATAGCACAATAGCACAGACCACATACAAATACAATAAAACACATAAATAGCACAGACCACAACAAAATTTCCCCAACAAAACGAAAATTAACCATGTTTTTTTTTTTTGGCATATTGATTACCTGTTGTATAACCACAGTTGTACAAATACCATGGTTAAATCCATGGTTAATTTGTGCATGGTTATAGTAACCATTTTTTTTTAAAATTTTACTTATATAATAAATGTATTTATTAATTAATAAATTTTAATAGTAGGCTATGGTTAATTTTTGTAAGGTAAGTTGTAAAGGTAAGTTAGCCAGCTTACATAACCTTTAATCACTAATTACTAGTTACAGTAATTGTGTATTTTGTCAGCTTATTTAGGCTAATAATATCCACAAAAAAAGAGCTAATGAATATGATCAGGGTGTTAAAATAAACAAAAATCTTACCTTTCAGAGTAGACAGTGCATGTCCCAGCCATGCTTGTCACTTTGCAGTTCCCTTAAACATTTCCAATGTGGTCTGTGTCTATTTGCAGCGTGTTTCTGTTTTTGCAGCGCATTTCTTTATTTAATTGTGTTGTGAGCATTTGCAGCATGTGTGTTGTCAAATTGATGATGTTTTTTTTTTTTTTTTTTGCAGGTGTTTTTTTCTATTTGCATGTGTTTTTTCATTTGCAGCGCGTTGAGCTCTCTCGGCCACCGTAAGTTCCTGCTCTGAAGAGAAGCATCTAACAATAGAACAGGGCCGATTGAATTATAATAGACCTTTAGCCTATAAATGTCTGATGGAGCCAAACAGCATGTGTTATAATGAGCGCCGAGAATCTGTTTGGGAATGAAGGACTCGCTGGGCAGTGGTTCACTGGTGTGTGTGGTATCGGTTTGAAGAATGTGTGTTGATTTGGTGAAACAGAAAAGAACAAATCAATGCAGATTTCTCTTAATCAACAAATCACTGACATATGACATCTAACTTAAGCACAAATGTGCACTAGTTGAAAATGCTAATTTAATGACCAGAAGAGGAATTATTATTCTGTCATCATTTACTCACCATCATGTTGTTCCAAACCTTTTTAATCTGTGGAACAGAAAAAAAGTAATTTCAAAACAGTTTTCCATTAAATTGAACTGACAAGCTTTCAAGCTTTTAAAAGGACACAAAAGCACCATAAAGGTATCATAAAAGTAGTCCAAACGACTAACTATATTTTGTTCACACAAAATATGTGAACAAATTGACTAACACCAAAACAAGTCAAATTGACTAGTCTCCATTGACTAACACCGTCAAAGAAAAAGTAAAAAACAATGGAAGTCAATGGGGACAATCAACTGTTTGGCTACGCATATTGCTTCAAAATCTTTTTTTTTTTTATGTTCAGAGAAGCTCATACAAGGCTATGATTTAATAAGTTGTGTGATTTTTTTTCTTTCTTCCTCAAGTCATGTTCAGGGCTCTGTACTTTTGTGAGGAACAAACCAAAATGTAAATTAATATGTGCTAAATAAATTTGCTGAATTTAATTGAACTGTGTTCGGAATCCATTTGCATTGACTTTGTTGCATTAGCTAAAACTGTATGAGTGGATTTTTAGTTCCCAGCATGCTTTGCACAGTGCTGAACTGGGAGAGTAGATGTTGTAATTTTATGCATTTTTGAGTAAAGGGAAATACCTGAAAATAAACAAGAAAATACAATTTCAGTCATTCTACTTTAAAATGTCATGTTTAGTTCAATGTTACTTGCTGTTTCTTTGTAATTAATTGTGGAATTTACTAGCAATTTCTGAGTGAAAACTGTTTCTAAATAAAAGAAAATGTATTTTAAGTAAAATTTAAGTAAAATTAACAAAGTGAATAAATATGATCTTCTCAATATTTTATTTTTATTGCTTGCCACTGCACTGGCATTAACACAGCTATGTTCACCGAATGAATTTTCAAACACCACAGTCACCATCTAACCATCTTACAACCAAACCACAAGCTCTACTCTCCAGCACTATGGTTACCACAAAAATTTAAACAATAGCAAAACACCATAAGTAGTCTTTTATTCAGCAGCGATCTCATGCATTTCAGACATTTGTAGCTTGTTCAGGCTGTATACTTGTTTAACGTGCTACAGACATTTTAGCAGGTGTGATATCATTAGTAGCTTGTGCTTCAGCATACAGACATTTTAACACGCAGCATAAACAGTTTACCACATGCTACAGCGCATATCATGCAGTTGATTTGTTTTAGCATGTGATCAAACGGTCTGTTGACGGTTCAGTGTGAATTGCAGTCGTGTTTAGTATGTGCTCTAGATGTGGTGAATCTTGTGGATGTTGTAAATATGTTTTGATGTGTACTGTAGACATATTTAGCATGTACTGTCAACATACTGTAGATGTTCTTGCCGTGCTCAGGATGACCCGACTTCATCTCCAGGGAGCTGCAGCATGATCAACATTTAACATGCAACTGCACTCACTTCACTGGCAAAGGTGACCTTTGTACAATCCCCCTGATGGAGTCTGGGCTGTCTGAACATGCCAACTAAGCTTTCACATTACTTCACCATCATTATTTATGATTTAATAGAGATTCACTGCATAAAATCTCACACTGACCAGATCAACGGCTGTTTATCGTGATCTTGGTCAGTGTAAGTGGTATAGGAACATGCATTATATCCATTATTTATTTCCATTTTGTCCTGAAGGGATTAATAATTCAGGCACATTTGAAGAGGACTTTACCGGTATGGCTGGGGGAAAAAATGCCAGAGTCTTTTATTAGGTAACACAGGTTTGGTGGTGTATATAGAGTTCAAATGACCAGATTTCAGAAACATCGATTGTATAAATGGATATGAAATTGAACAAATACGTTCCATCTGTAATGTGTTCGGTCACCTGCAGTAAATGGTATGAATGATCATTTTTAAGTGAACTATTGCTTTACACTCACCTAGTTTAAAGAAACAGTTCGGCCAAAAATGGCCTCCAAAAATGAGAGAAGCCAGTTAAAAGGACAGTTCACCAATAAATGCAAATGCTGTTCATTTACTGACTCTCAGGTCATCCAAGATGTCGGTGACTTTTTTTCTTCAGTAGAACAGTAAAGAAGAATTTTAGCTGAAACCGTGGTCCTAGGTGATTCATATAATGCGAGTCAGCGGTTAAGAAAAGCATATCAAGAAACACAAAATGAATACCCATGGCGCCTGACAATATATTGAGGTCTTATGAAGCGAAAGGATTGGTCTGTGCAAGAAACTGAACCCTATTTCCAACATTATTACCTGTAATCCAGAGCCTCAGGCAAACAGTCCGGAGTGATTTCAGGTTTGCGAATGAATCATTCTTTTGAACCGGTTCTTTTTTGTGAACTAACTGAACCAGTTCACCAAATCGGACTAAACCGTCTGTAATGGTTCTCGGTTCGAGCAGCACAGATTTACAATTTACTTTGGATTACAGGTAATAATGTTGCTAATAGTGTTCAGTTTCTTGCACAGACCAATAGTTTCACTTCATAAGACCTCAATACATCATCAGGAGCCATGGGTATTAATTTTGTGCTCCATTATATGCTTTTTTTGATTCTCAAAGTCTTTTTTTGAGGATCTAATTAATAGGAAAGCTTACTGAACTTGGATCTTGAACTTAAATTTGGAGCTTATTTTACTTGCAAGACAAAATATTAGTTTTGTGTTCATAGAACTTGTATATAATGCTTGTTGAAAGCACAGACCAACTTGAATTGTTATACATTCCACAATTTCAAAATGACAGCAACTTTTTTCGTGTTGAGTGTACTCAAAAATGTCCCGAAGCGGGTTGCCTTGAGTTTAGGAGTTTTCTCACTGCATCTAGACCAGGGGTGGGCAAACTTGGCCCTTCCAGGCCACTTTCCTTATGAGTTTAGCTCCAACCCTAATCAAACACACCTGAACCAGCTAATCATTGTCTTCAAGACTACTAGAAGGCTACAGGCAGGTGAGATTTATCAGGGTTGGATCAAATCTCTGCAGGAAAGTGGCCTGGAAGGGCCACGTTTGCCCATCACTGATCTAGACCATTTTAACACCAGCAAACAACCTAGATTTATTTTTTTCCATCAGACACACTGTTATTTGTGCTGTTGTTCAGTTGTTTAACTGCAATTTTGTATGATAATGATTCTTTGTTCAACTGAGTTGTAATCCAGTGTCTTTTCCACGTTGTAATCTGTGAATAAAATCTATAATAATTCAAACATTCTCTGTCAATTGCAGCTTCTATCAGGTGAGGGCAGGCCTGCGTGTGTCTTCTCGGGTTCCCCACAGAATCACTGCCACAACACCTGGATACACAGGTGAGCATCTGTGTGTTGGAGGAGGGAATCGGCTTCTAACATTTGTCTTGAAAACTGTCCACATATAGCAGACAAAGAAAAGATAATCGCGATGTTTGTGTATCACTGTTGCCTACAAATGATATTAACTCCTATATTAATGGGTTTTCACATTATTTTGCCTACACACACACACACACACACACACATATATATATATATAATACAGAAAAAATATTAATATTGTGAAATGTTATTACAATTTAATTATTATTTATTATTATTATATTTATTATTATTATTTAATTACTTTAATTTTAATATACTTTAAAATACAAATTATTCCTGTCATGCAAAGCTGAATTTTTTTTTAAATGTGTGTGTGTGTGTGTGTGTGTGTGTGTATGTATGTTGTTCAGTTGTTTAACTGCAATTTTGTATGATAATGATTCTTTGTTCAACTGAGTTGTAATCCAGTGTCTTTTCCACGTTGTAATCTGTGAATAAAATCTATAATAATTCAAACATTCTCTGTCAATTGCAGCTTCTATCAGGTGAGGGCAGGCCTGCGTGTGTCTTCTCGGGTTCCCCACAGAATCACTGCCACAACACCTGGATACACAGGTGAGAACTCCATATATTTACTTTCTTCATCTCAGAGTCTCCATAAATCATAAATGTGTGCAGCATCAATATGTCAAACAACATGCAACTAATCAGTTAGCAACATCGGCTTGTGTGTCTAGATTCTTTTATTAGATTAAATATTTTTAGTGGTGGTGGTTTAGATTCAAGATGCATTATCTGAGAGAGGGTTTTAAACTGTCAGCACGCTAAAATCCTCTGAGGAGATGCATCTCTAAATTCATTCTCTATAAAGGCACATTAAAGCAGAAATGTTGAAACTAATTCAACTTCTTAAACAACAATTTAAGAGACAATTACTGATGCACATTAAATCACTTGCTGTAAGCAATGTTCCTGTTATTACGCACAATGCATTTGTGAGTACTTCATTTTGGTTACAATTATTCAGCCTATTTACCTTGTTTTGCTGGATACAGGATGATAGTGGAGCCCATCGGATGAGTGTGAGCATTCGAGGGCTCTTTCCCAGAGGCTTTTGGGAGGATTCCCCTCGCTGTCTCCGCTCCCACTATTAAAAATAAATGTGCAGAATAAACCACTTAGACACACATAGGTCTTTCTGTAACAAAACAGCCTTTAGAGGACAGAGAGAGAGATACAGAGATAGAATTTACTATCTTGATATAAGGCTTTTAGAGTTGGACAAATTATCGATCACGCACTAATACTCTATCACTTGCTTTCAAAGTCAAATACAGATCGACAAATGACAATGAGTGCAATACAACAGCTGATTTGTTCAACACTTATGCAAAATATTATTATTAAATTATTACCAAATTAAATTAATTCATTACACAGTTGAAATACTTCATTTTGAATTCTTACGTTTTAGATTTTAGTTTTTAAAGTGTGTGTGTGTGTGTGTGTGTGTATGTATGTATGTATATCTACTGTATATATATAGTTTACATTTAAATAATTAAAAAATGTAAAACTTGGTTAAATATGTTATCATTTATTAATGTGTTTAATATATTTTTATATAATGTTATTTATCATTTTAACATTTTATATATTTTCATAAATGTATATGAATATCACCTACAAACTATATAACAGAACCATTTGTATAGGATTATTATTATTTATTAAAATACATAAAATTACTTGTTTAATTTTTACTTTTACTGTTTTCTGCCATTTTCTAATATGCATTACCCTTACAGCATAGTAAAATCACAGTAACACATGGTCTTTCGTGGCTTATTCTATTATATTACACATATAAAGGTATACATTTGCTGTATGATTATTTTCATGGTTTTCTATGACCCCTTGATTACAAACATACACACTCTATGCAATTTACCTATTGCTTGTGTCTTGTTCTGTGTCTAACTTACATTCTTCTCATTCTCAGCACACATTCTGCGCTCAAAACAGTAATCTCCAGGCTGCTTTAGTTTTATGGCCATCTAAAGGCAATCAGGGACACAGACACCATGTTTCCACAGGTCACGTTGTGTCAGGTGAAAATATAATGTGTTTTCACAACACTGACGGCTTCTTTAGTGTCACACACAAGTTACCTGGACGCACACACACAATTATCAGTGTACACACTGCTGTTATGACACCTGTTCAAAAGATTGTTCAAAAGATCCAAAATAAGTATTTTTGAAAGACACACTCTCTATCCAGAAAAGCCTCTTAAAAATCTACTTCAACACTATATTTTCTTTGTAATATCTTACCAAACACAATTTTGAAAATTAATCACTCTATTCACCCATGGGACTGCTGTTTACTTCCCAATTTGCATTCATAGCATGCTTCTGAAAGTGACACAGGTTTATTCGGTGAGGCCTCAGATACTCGTCTGAATCGTGTGATTCCAGATCAAATACTGCTGTCTGACTGACATCACTTCACCATAATGAGCTTCTGGGCAGACTTTCATCTTCTGTTTACGTGAGAGGATACGACAACCCTAGAATTTTGTTGTTGGATGTCTGCTGTCTTTTCAGTTTTTTTTCTGACGCATAGGCTTGCTTGTAATTCTGGTATTTCTAAATAAAAAAAGGCACATTATATACACTACCATTCAAAAGTTTGGGGTCGGTAAGATTTATTTTTATTTTTTTTTGTAAGTCTGTTTTAATGCTCACCAAAGCTGCATTTATTTCATCAACAACACAGTAAAAGCAGTAATATTGTGAAATATTGCACTTTTTTGGGCTTCAAAATCTCGACCCCCATTCACTGCCATTATAAAGCTTGGAAAAGTCATGACATTTTTTAATATAACTCCGATTGTATTCGTCTAAAAGAAGACTGTCATACACCTAGGATGGCTTGAGGCTGAGTAAATCATGGGGTAATTTTCATTTTTGGGTGAACTACCTGTCACATTCGCTACTGTGAGGGAGCGAGGAACGAGGAGACGTGGAGTACATCAACAAGGAGACTTTATTCATCCAACACAAGGGAACCAGGGAAACACACGTAGCAGGGGAGGTTGACATATACAATAACGGACACCAAACTAAGAACAGGGAACACTTTATATACACATGACATGACGAGGGGATGAGGAGACACACCTGGGATTAATAGAACTAAACGGGGAACACCTGGAACAAATGATAAGGACAGGAACGGGAAGGACCAAATATGGGCATAGAAACACATGGGGAGCAAAACACGGAACAGAATCTGACACTACCCCTTTAATTTATTTAAACAAAAAATCTTACTGACCCCAAACAAAACAAAACCGTAAGTGATAACAGTTTTTTGTCATGTCCCTTTTACATTTTGTGTCCAAACAGGACAGTGATAAATTAAGTATTTCCTGTTCATTCAGTTGCTCATTTTGCTTTAGTACTAGTCATATGAGATAAAACACAGCAGTTTTCTTTGGCTGTCATAACTTAATGCCTTTATTGAGGAGTTGTGTGTGTGTATGTGTGTGTGTGTGTGTGTGTGTCTATGTGTATTTGGCAGCAGAAAGCCCATGGCCTCTGTCTGACATTGAGTCTTGGTGCTGCTCGTCTGACTGAACGCCAGCGGCGGTCTGAATCAAACTCACACACTCACTGGCCATTTTGGATCTGTCAGCCATTCTGGCTCTTATGGGATTTAATTTTCAGTTTCAAAATGTCATCCAGACAACTGGTTGCCTGACTAAACTGAAGTGTTTCAGCGTCTTTGTGCTCTCCACTAACTCAATTACAAATTCTTCCTCATCCTGACTTGTTTAGGACGCTTCCCACTTTGTATTACTCCTTAAAGGACATGTATGTTTCAGCAGTGCTGCCCACTGTCTATGTATAAACAGCATATTAAAATATATACTGTTAATAGCAGAAATAATATTGTAGGTATAAAGAGAATGAATCATATGTCGCATCATATGATAATAAGGTCGCTGTGATTTTGCCAAGTAAGACATGTTCCTGGATCAACATCTTTTGTTGATCCTGGATCAACATTACACTCTAAAAAATGCTGGGTTAAATACAACCCAGTGCTGGGTAAAATAGGGACAAACCCAGCAATTGGGCTGTTTTGACCCAGCGGTTGGGTTCCTTCTGGGTAGTAACCCAACCGCTGGGTCAAAACAGCCCAATTGCTGGGTTTGTCCCTATTTT